ATGCTGCTTATTGGTCACTTGTAAATTCATTTCAGATACAATATATGGATAAAATTCATGCAAAAGCTCTTCTTTACCGACATAATTATACTTCAAAATATGAATATATAATTGGTGAAAAAGTAAGTGATGTTTTTGATGGTGATCATTATAAAGATTTAGTTTCTTCTGGATTTTTTTTGGATCATCGGGATATTGCTTTAATGGCTTCCACTGATGGATACCAAATTTTTCGTCAAAAAAGAGATGATTGCTGGGTAATTCTTTAATTAAATGCAAATATACCACCTGATATACGTGTTCAGCGTGAGAATATGATAATATCTGCACTTATTCCTGGACCAAAAGCACCAAAAAACTTTAATTCATTTTTACGACCACTGGTTGACGAGTTAAAACAATTACAAGGTATTATAAATAATGTATTTATTTATTTTATAATATATTACTTATTAACTTGTTATAATTAATATAGAAGGAATCCGATGTTTTGATAGTTTGACAGAAAGTACATTCACACTTCATGCACATATTCTAAGTTGGTCTGGTGATATTCCAGCACTTGCCAAGGTTATGTGTACAACTGGACATAATTCTTATAAAGCATGCCGATTTTGCTCTATCTGTGGAGTATATAATCAAGGAAATAGGCATGTATATTATCCACTCAAGCTCTCAACCAGTGAATTAGAAAGAAATTATGATCCTGAAAACCTTTCATTGAGAACACATGAAGGTTATATACAAGATGTTATAGCTATAGAAGTTGTAAATAAATCATTACGCAAACGTGAAATACAAAAAAGAGGTAAGTAATCAATATTGAAAATGATACAAAATTGCAAAAGAATTCTATAATTATTACTTTTTTTTAGGTGTAAATGGTCGAAGTATTTTGTTTGAGCTTAAATCAATAAAGTTTCCAACTTCATTCCCTGTTGATATTATGCATGGATTGTTTGAAAATATTGCACCAGCAATGCTTCAACACTGGACTGGTACTTTTTTCAAAGAAAATCAAGACAATAATTATGATTATATTCTTTCTAGTAAAATTTGGACAGAAATTGGAAATATAATGGAGAAAAATAAAAAGAATATGCCACTGGATTTTGGGCATCCACCTATTGATATTCAACGATATTCAGCTTTATTCAAAGCAGAAGATTGGTCAAATTGGGTGATTTTATACTCACTACCATTATTACAAGATTATCTTTCAGAAATGTATGTATTTTAATATAAATATTCATTATTTTTCAAGTCAAATCTTTAATATTTTAAGATTAAACCAGATATATAAATGGATGGGTCAAATTTGTGCATGCTGTAAAGCTTTGTCTCAAGAAAACTATTACTATAACAGAGCTAACAGAAATTAACAAACTTTTTTGTGAATTT